GATATCTTCCAGAGTTTGTATTGTTCTCATCGATTGACGTCAGTTTGAGGATGAAAAGCCGTGCTGAACTTTATTTGTACCCATGGCTTCTTGTAGGCTTTGCCAGAATCTGGAACGAACTTCGGATCCCTATCCGATATAATGAGACCGGTACACCATGCAGTCTTACAATTCATTGACATATATACCGCCAGTTTATCTCATTTGTACTGAGTCTTCACTGGCAGAAAGTGGGCAGACTTAGTCAATCGTCGACAATGACCTATATAGAATTCATACCCCGAGGTGTCCGTGGTAATCCCGCAACCGAATCCAGGTTAGATGTTCCCACTTCCATTCCGCGGATTGGAAGGGTTGTAATAATTCCTGCTGTCTTGGTGCTCCGCTTTCACTTGCTGACAACTGCAAACACTTAGAGACAAAGTCTGCAATCTCCTTTTTCATGCTTGGCCACCAGAAATTTGTTTCAAATCCCGATACATTTTAGTACTTTCCCGGATGCATGGAAAATCTTGAGGCGTGTGCTTCTTCCATCAATTTCCACTTTTATACGTTCCAACACATTGGGGACACATACTCGGTTTTTGAATTGAGTACACGAATCCACTAAACTGAACCCCGATTGTGAGTTTGGTTCTCCAGCTCATCACATACCTTCTTTATAACATCATCCTCCATTTGATGTCTTGATATTTTCAAGCAAGTCCGGTTGAGCCATTCTGCTCGCCATACTTTTCCTGTCAGGTATCTTAAATTCCACCCTCATTTATTCCAATTATCTATCAATTCCTTTTGCTCCGTAAACAGTTGGCCAAATTCTCCTACTTTTCCGACTAAGAGAGATCCGTAACGTGTTGGCCTTACCGGGATGAATAATGATCTGTAAATGCATAGTCTTTAATTAATTTTAACCACCGACGTTGCTGCATGTTCAATTCCTTCTGGGTAAAAAAGGTACTTAAGGCTTTTGTGGTCGGTGTAAACCTTCACAAGTAGTACCATACAAATAGTCGCCCATATCTTTAAAGCAAAAACCACCGCCGCGAGCTCAAGATCATGCGTGGGAAATTCTTTTCATGGAGTTTAAGCTGTCGTGAAGCATAGGCAATAACCCTTCCACCTTGCATAAGCACACACCTAATCCTTATGAGACGCATCACTGTAAATTACAAACCCTTCGATGCCAGATGGTAAAGCTTAAACTGGAGCTGTGGTTAATTTCATCTTTAATTCCTGGAAAGCATTCCCGCTCTTTTGACCATTCAAATGCAACTCCCTTTCGAGTCAATTGTGTAAGGTGCCAGCAATTTTAGAAAAACTTGAACGAATCTCCGTGTAGTAGCTAGCTAATCCCATAAAGCTACAGCACTTCCTGTCATCATTGGTAGGTTCGGCCATTTACAATCGGCCTCATATTTGTGTGGGCATCAGACAGAAACTCCCTCCTTTGTGGTATATTGCCCCAGGAATGCCACCTCGAATATGCCAAAATTCACATTTCTTAAGCTTGCATACAATTCCTTTCCCGGAAGGGTTTGAAGAGTAAGCGAAGATGGTTTCATGAGCTTCCACATTCTTGAATAAATAAATGAGTATACATCAATAAGACCACCACAAATTCCATCCAGATAGGACATTAAAAACACGGTTTCATCAAATCCATAAAGGCTGCTGGGGCATAGTAACTCCAAAGGGCATAACAAAAAATTCGTAATGACCGTATCGAGTGTCGAAAAGCTGTCTTCTCACACATCATCAGCCTTGACTTTTAATTGATGGTATCCAGACCGTAGATCAATCTTAGAAAAGACCTGTGCCCTTGAAGCTGATCAAATAGGTCATCGATTCTGGCAACGGATACTTATTCTTGATTGTGACTCTTTTAAGTTCTCTGTAATCGATACAAAGCCGGAGTGTTCCATCCTCTTCTTTCACGAACAAAACTGCGCCACCCCACAGGAGATACACTCGGGCGATAAATCCTTGTCCAATAAATCTTGCAACTGCTTTCAATTCTTCATCTCAACTGGCGACAATTCTATATGGAGAGTCTTAGAAAGGGTTGAGTTCCTGGTGCTACTTCAATTGTAAACTCAATTTCACGATCTATTAACTGTCCTGGTAGTTCTTCTGGAAAAACATCCGGAAATTCACAGACAACTGGGAATCATGTCGGAATTCCATTCACCATTTGCCCCTCTAGACACCGCATAAATATACCCCTGAACCCTTTCTGAATAAATTTACAAGCCCTTGCTGCGGAAATTAAATACAGGCTGGTGAAGTCACTCCATGTCCCTGAAAGGTAACCCTAATTGTACCCGGAGGTGGAAACTAATTTGTTTAGTCAAACAATCTATACTTTGCACCAATTTACCTAACCAGGTCCATCCCAGTAAAATTAAAGTAAATCCAAATAAGGCCATATTCAAGGAGAGACATACAGATTGGCATTATACCCGGATGGATATCCCCAAGTTGGAGTTCACAAGCAGCATATACAGAAGTACAAATCATAGGGCCTCCTAAAGGTGAAGACACACACAACATATAAGACAGTTTTTCTTCAGTTTTATCTGAATTAGGAGCAAATAGTTTCGACACAAAAGAGTGGGTGGAGCCATAATCAAATAATACATGAGCGAAATGACCGTGAACGATAAATGTACCTGACACCACCGTTGCCGCATTTTGCACATCTCCCGGAACCAATGCGAACACCCTGCCTTGTCTCGTAGTGTCTTTATTATTAGTAGGTTTAATAGTTGTCTTGGTGTTGGAAGTTGGTGCAGACCCCGCTGAACTTGTAGTGGTTCTATTATTGCTTTGTTGATTTCTTTGAGGGCAATCCTTAATCAAATGACCCGTCTTGCCACACTGAAAACAAGCTCCAGACTTCCGATAGCACGTTCCACGATGCTTTTTCCCACATTCCGGACAAGTCGGTATTGAATCTTGACTAGGGGTAGAAGTATTTGAACTCCCTAAAGTCTGCTTTTTGTTTGGTGGAGTAGGTGATCCCTTCGACCATTGAGTATTTTGCCTCTTCCCTTTTCATTCCGAAATTTGACTCTGAGTAGCGAGATTCCCTTCCACTATAACGGCTCTTTCCAACACATCAACGTAAGTAGGTAACTTCAACATGTTGACCTTATCCAGGATAGCGCTCCGTAATCCCCCTTCAAATTTGCGCGCCTTCTTATAATCCGTATCCACCATATGGGGTGCAAACCGAGCTAATTCTGCAAATTGGGCTTCGTATTCAGTGACGGTTTTGTTCCCTTGCCTGAGAGTTTCGAATTCCATTACCTTCTTATCCCGCATGCTTTGAGGGAAGTACTTGTCATAAAACAATTCCAAGAATCTGTCCCATGTCAACCCTTGGTGTACAGTTCTCGTAAGCATCCACCATCTGCGTGCCTCATCCTCAAGAGTAAAGGCAGCCAATTGCACCTTCTGAGCTTCTGTGCAGGGAAAGACTTCAAATAGCTTCTCTATCCCCAACACCCATGCTTCAGCTTTCATTGGTTCTATTCCTCCTTTGAAGGATGGCGGTTTCATCTTTTTAAACTCCTTAGTAAGGGTGATAGTCCGGTCTTCAGCATGGAAATCTTGTACTGCCGGTGGAGGCACCAATGGTGGGGGTGGTTGTTGTGGCTGTTGCTGTTGTTGCCACAGGGTCTCCGCCATTTCCATAATCATTCTCTCCATTCTATCTAGCCGTGCAGAAGTAGCATCTTCTGTATCTTCTGTCCTTGTCCTCACCATTGCCTACACAATAATCATTTATACATAATAGACATATTCCAAAAGTGTTAGCATTATCAGAGTAGACTTAACGTTGCCATCGCTCTTTCATATTCTTTTAGAATGTCATGCAAGATGCCTAAAGCTTTTCTAGACACCCTAAAGCTCAATGGATCCGTGTGTGAGATAGCAACTCGTGCTCTGATACCACTTGACACGCCCCTAACTTGCCCCTAAAAGTTCGGGCATGACCCATTCAAAAACAGACATATAACCTGGTATATATAGCATATGGGGCCTTGACGGAAGCACAAAACATACAATTGATTATATTGTTCTTGACATACATGCTTTTGACGTAATCTACGTATAGATTGGTTGACTCATTACCAGGCTTTTATAGATTGCCATCGTAGGAGGGTATCGGTGTGTACACCATCAAAAGAGTGCTTTTATTTTATGTGTGATTGAGGTGTTAGTCCTACCCCTCCGTTGTATGACCTTAAG